CATCTTTGTGATTTTATCTACTTTTGGTCTTTGATGATGGTGACCTACAGGTAGGGTTTTGGTGTGGATGTTCTTTTTGTTGATGTTAATGCTATTCCTTTCTGTTTGTTAATTTTCCTTCTGTCAGTCAGGTCTCTCAGCTGCAGGTCTGTTGCAGTTTGCTGGAAGTCCACTTCAGACCCTGTTTGTCTGAGTATCACCAGTGGAGGCTGCAGAACAGCAAATATTGCAGAACAGCCAATATTGCTGCCTGATCCTTCCTCTGGAAGCTTCATCCCAGAGGGGCACCCGCTTGTATGAGTTGTCAGTCGGCCCCTACTGGGAGGTGTCTCCCATTTAGTCTACACAGGTGTCAAGGACCCACTTGAGGAGGCAGTGTGTCCATTCTCGGAGCTCAAACACTGTACTGGGATAACCACTGCTCTCTTCAGAGCTGTCAGACAGGGATGTTTAAGTCTGCAGAAGTTTCTGCTGCCTTTTGTTCAGCTATTCCCTGCCGCCAGAGTTGGAGTCTGCAGAGGCAGCAGGCCTTGCTGAGCTGCAGTGGGTTCTGCCCAGTTTGAGCTTCCCTGGCCACTTTGTTTACCTACTCAAGCCTCAACAATGGTGGATGCTCCTCCTCCTGCCAGGCTGCTGCCTTGCAGGTCAAGCTCAGACTGCTACACTGGCAGTGAGCAAGGCTCTGTGGGTGTGGGACCTGCTGAGCCAGGCATGGTATATAATCTCCTGGTGTGCCGTTTCTAAGACCATTGGAAAAGTGCAGTATTTGGGCAGGAATGTCCATTATTCCACGTACAGTCTGTCACAGCTTCCCTTGGCTAGGAAAGAGAAATCCCCCAACTCCTTGTGCTTCCCGGGTGAGGCGATGCTCCGCCCTGCTTAGGCTCACCCTCTGTGGGCTGCACCCACTGTCCAACCCGTCCCAGTGAGATGAACCAGGTACATCAGTTGAAAATGCAGAAATCACCCATCTTCTGCGTTGACCACGGTGGGAGCTGCAGACTGGAGCTGTTTCTATTCAGCCATCTTGGAATGGACAGGTAAATTATTTTCTAAACTGAAACATAATTTCCCAAGAAATATAAATTTAAAATCCGTATCTTTTTTTTTTTGAGACAGAGCCTCACTGTGTTGTCTAGACGGGAATGCAATGGCACAATCTTGTTTCACTGCAACCTCTGCCTCCCGAGTTCAAGCGATTCTCCTTCCCCAGCCTCCCAAGTAGCTGGGATTACAAGTACCGTACCCTCCACCACACCTGGCTAATTTTTGTATTTTTTTTTTTTTTTGAGATGGAGTCTCGCTCTGTCGCCCAGGCTGGAGTGCAGTGGCGCGATCTCGGCTCACTGCAAGCTCCGCCTCCTGGGTTTACGCCATTCTCCTGCCTCAGCCTCCTGAGTAGCTGGGACTACAGGCGCCCGCCACCGCGCCCAGCTAATTTTTTGTATTTTTAGTAGAGACAGGGTTTCACCGTGGTCTCGATCTCCTGACCTTGTGATCCGCCCGCCTCGGCCTCCCAAAGTGCTGGGATTACAGGCGTGAGCCACCGCGCCCGGCCTCTAATTTTTGTATTTTTACTAGAGACAGGTTTTGTCATGTCAGCCAGGCTAGTCTAGATCTCCTGGCCTCAGGTGATCTGCCTGACTCGGCCTCCCAAAGTGCTGGGATTACAGGCATGAGCCACGGAGCCCGGCCTTTTTCTTTTCTTTCTGTTCTCTCCTCCTTCTTTTTTTTTTTTTTTTTTTTTTTAGTAAAATCCATATCTAATTTCTTGACATTTTCAATAATATAGGTTATACATTTTAGTTTCATAAATAAGATTTCATAAATGAGATTTAAGCCTTAGGAATTATATTGTTTATGATGCATTTTCAATATAGAAAGTTTTAATTTTAATTCTGTTAATTCCAGTTTGGGGAAGATTCTTTAGGAGTAACTATTGTCTCTCTGCAGTCAGGGAAAACTAAAAATAAACTTTATTTTGCATAATATGGAATGCTCATAAACAGAATTGTCATGGTAATCCACCCTTAAACTTTGTCATTATTATTTTTAGACAACATTAGCTATTGTGACAGAATTAAGGAAATAATCACCTTTGATGTAATCTTGGCTCATGCTAGAGATTTTCAGATTTAACTTGTGCTATTGCTATTCTAGGGCAATATTTCCTTCCCCCACCCCTGGGAAAATATCTTTTTGAAATGCATGACTCAAGTAAATGTTGGACCTGATGCAATTATAGGACTGCACACATCCTTGTAGCAGGGAAGGTAATAGTGTATCATTAAATAACAAATATGTGTAACCTGCAGCTTTTGCTGTCTTCTTATTTTTTAAGATGCTCAAATTTTTGGATGAGTCAAGCTTTATTCCAAATTACTGCAGACTGGATATTATCAGTTTTCTTGAAGTAATAGGAAGATTTTTGTTGTTGTTGTTTTTGTTGTTTTTATTTTTTTGAGTCAGAGTCTCACTCTGTCACCCAGGCTGGAGTGCAACAGTGTGATCTCGGCTCACTGCAACCTCCGCCTCCTGGGTTCAAGCAATTCTGCTGCCTCAGCCTCCCGAGTAGCTGGGATTACAGGCATCTGCCACCACGCCTGGCTAATTTTTGTATTTTTAGTAGCGATGGGGTTTTACCATGTTGGCCAGGCTGGTCTTGAACTCCTGACCTCAGGTGATCCACCCCACTCAGCCTCCCAGAGTTCTGGGATTACAGGCGTGAGCCACCACGCCTGGCCAGTAATAGGTAGATTTAATTTTGCTCAACAGAGTCGGATCCTTAACAAGAAAAAAAAAAAAAGCTTTTAAGTAGTATTGGTACTCTCTAGTTTCTGTCCTGGTCTGTTTCAGTTATGATCACCCTGCAATTTTTAACATCTATAGTATTCTAAATATGAAGTTCCTTAAAATTCGGGACTTTGATGACTTTCTTCTCTATTTAACTTCAGAGGCCCATGCCCAGGGATCTAGGAATTTTTTTTTTTTTTTTTTTTTTTTTTAAGACGGAGTCTTACTCTGTTGCCAGGCTCAGGCTGGAGTGCAGTGGCATGACCTTGTCTCACTGCAACCTCCACCTCCTCGGTTCAAGCAATTCTCCTCGCTTTGCCTCCATAGTAACTGGGACTACAGGCGTGCACTACCACATCCAGCTAATTTTTGTATCTTTATTAGAGACAGGGTTTCACCATGTTGGCCAAGATGGTCTCGATCTCCTGACCTGATAGTCCACCTGCCTTGGCCTCCCAAAGTACTTGGATTACAGGCCACCACACTCTGCCAGACCTAGGAATTTTCTATTCCTCTGACTAAAATTTGGTTTTCCCCTCTTCTCTTCCCTATTGTGAAAGTTAATTGAATATGTCAACTCTCCTGGCTAATGAATGACCACATAGCTGGTATAACATTATTTCTGAGTGTGTCTGTGAGGGTATTTCCAGAAGAGATTAGCATTTGGATCAGTAGATTGAATAAAGAAGATCACCCTCACCAATGCAGATGGGCATCATATAATCTGTTGTGGGCCTGAACAAAAAGGTGGAAGAAGGGCAAATCCACTCTCTCCTCTTGAGTGAGGACATTAATTTTCTCCTGCCTGATGGCATTGGTGCTTATGGTTCTTGGGCCTTCAGACATGACTGGGACTTACATCATTGGCTTTCCTGGTTCTCGGACTTTTGGGGTTAGATTGAAACTACACTGCTGGCTTCCAGGGCCTCCAGCTTGCAGATGGCAGATGGTGGGACTCATAATTGTATGAGCCACTCCCTCATAATAAATCTTTTTCTATATATGTATTTATAGCCATTTTGTTCTGTTTTCTGAAGAACCCTGACTAATGCACCAGTTGTCCCTGACTTCCATTGAGGGGCCATGACATTCTGGGAAACAGTACTTCATTCTTGTAAGTGGAGCATGTAAAATAGATGAAGCCAGTGAGTGCATACCAACCCCTGGGCTAGTGACTATAAAGATGTGACCATTTGACCTCTGTTACCATATGAAATTCCCGAACTTTTGTAAATAATTTGGGATACAGACTCTCTTCTCCTCTGGTTAGCAGCAAGTGCAGGTGTCACACCTGGAGCTGGCTCATTCGTATTGCTACTGTGAAGAACGCCACTTGAAGTTGAAACTGATACATGAAGAACAGCGGGACTAAGAGAATGGGGAGGCCTCAGTAAAGCACAATTAAAAGCTGTCTTTTCTCTGAACTTCTCAATTATGTGAGCTTATACAGCCTCAATATTGTTTAAGTCAGTTTGAGTTAGCTTTTCATGTAGTATTCACAACACAAAACATCCTTATACATGTTACAGGTCCTAGGTCTGGCTACAAATAGTTTCATACTCTAGCTACAAACTTTCACATTTCTGGCTTTCCTACTTTCTGAGTCCTAGCAGACTGTTAAAAATATAAAAAACATTTGAAGAAAAAAAATTTGGGGCAACTGATGCATCTCTCAACCTTTGTTAGATTAAATAAGTGATAAAAAAGATAATGACAAGAAGAAATTGCATGATTATATAAGGAGAAATCAATAGATACATGAGAAGCTTTAAAGCTTTATATCCACAAGAGAAGACTATAACTTATTTAGATGCCCATGAAATACCAAAAAGAGACAGAAAAAAATAAACTCATGTACTTAGACTGAAAGAAATACTTCAATACATTTCTCAAATCAAAAATTCATATTTTCTGACCATGATAGAATTAACTGGATATTAATTTAAAAGTATTAGATGGGAATAAAATATCATTTAAACGTTCAAAGCAAAATCTCCTATCTTAGACAATGATACAAATAATATAATCTGAGACAATTTTGAAACAAGAATAGAAAGAATACAAAGAATACAAGGCATTAGCCTTTTTTTTTTTTTTTTTTTTTTTTTTTTGAGTGTGGACTAAACTTACCTCAGGGAATATTGGTAGTAAAAAAAAAAGTTTATTACTAAAAATAAAAAGAGTTTTAAATAGGAAGCAAAAATAGAGGAAAAAAATCTAAATATAAAAATGAAAGTGGAATTGATAATCCAAAACTTTTAATTTAAAAATAAACGCGTAATGTAGCAGCTATATCATAGGCGCATTTTATTAAGAATGATGTCAAAGACAAGCATTATTAAGGATGGAAAAAAGAAAAGACATGGAGGAAGTTAACAGTATTAAATTATGTTGTACTAATAAGTCTGAAAATTCTGGTCACATGGGTAACTTGGAGCATGCCAATCTTTGTATACAAATAAATTTTTCCTGCACTCTGGACTAACTGTGCTTTCTACATGGAATCTCTTTCCTTTGATTTTTGATGGTTCCTTCTTGTCAGTGATGTCTCAGCTTAAAAGTCACTTTCTCAGAGAGGTTTTTGTTTTGTCTACCCATAGCTTCTCAAAATCCCTCAGCCTGCCACTCAGCATAATATCACACTCTTTTAATTTCACCTGGGCATTTATCATTAGCTGATATTTTAAAATTTTATGTGTTAGTTTATTATCTGTCTTCTGAGAATATGTTTCTTTCATATATAAGGACATACAGAGGATTCTGTGTGTCTTTATTACCCAATGCACATAGAACAATGACACATAGTTGGTATCAATAAAGGTCTTAAGTAAATAGTTTTTTAGGAAAATAAACATGAGAAGAATCAAAAAAAAATATATCCAATAATCATGGTATTAGCTCAAAAAAATAGTTCCAGGCATGACAGTTTGCTGTCAAACACTTTCAAGCTTTCTATAACTCAAAACTCTTCATGTTATGTAAAATGTTCCATAGCCCAGAAAATGGGCTATCAATTGATCAGATAATTATATGCTTAGAAAACCTAAAATAATACATTTTAAAATTCTTAAAACCAGAAGAAATGTAAGTCAAACATTCAGATACAAAATAAATAAAAAGAAATTTATATATTAGCAATAACCATTTAGGAGATAAAATTTCAATTAACATATCAAAGGATATTGTTGAAGATGCACAAGATTATTCTTAAATTTACTTAAGTGTACGGGAAAGAAAAATTTGTAAAACAATACCAGTGGAGAGCTGCTGGTTTTTAAATGGATGAGGATTTTTTCGTAGTTTTAAAAATGCTTCCAAAAATAGTAATAGTTAAAATTGTGGAATTTGTTATGAAAATAATATGGAAGTGGTGGAAGAATATACTTATTAGTAGGACAGTTGCTAGTATACAAGTATACAGTGTTTGGTGGTGGAAGGATAAGATCTTAACGAGAAAAACTGTTTCCAACAATTTTGGGGAAATATTGCCTACTTGGAGATAAAAATATATATGTTACATTCACCTCTTATACTGTAAACCAAAGATTGCAAACTGGTGACCACCCTTGTACTATAACTGGGCCACAAATGTATATGGTTTGTTGCATCGTATTATAACACTCAAAAAAATTTAACACAAACTATAAATTTTTTTTTTTTGTTTTCTGTTTTTTAATGTGGGAGGAAAAAGTAAAACAGAAGATACAACAACACTGGACTCACATTCCCAGATGGCAGCATTTGGCAAGAACAGAGGAGTGACAGCTCCCCTGGTGCTCTGCAATTTGGCACAATTCTTCCCACCTCCTGTTTTATGCCGGTTTGCCTCACACATTTATGTGAATGGCTCCATTCCCATAGCCATTTGAGATTCAAAACTTCAGGTGGGTCAAGAGTTGGCTACAAAAGATAAAACTCAGAAATAAGTGAGAAGAAGATACAGGTGAATATTTAACTCATTCTCATGAAATGGTGTAAGCCAATTCAATCTTGTATAACTCTTAGGTTATTTTTAAAAATTAGTAGTAGCCTCCAATGTTCAGAGGTGGATGAAGTTCAACTACTTCCCCACAACCTATCAGGTTATAAAGAAAGCAATTGCAGATCAAATTCTGCCACCCATACATCCATTAGAAAGCATGCAAAAAAATCTTACTAGGGATCACGGCTTGGTGCCATCCTTAAGTGAGTAGGATATGACTCTCTGAATGCTTGTGGAAGTGTCTCTGAAATCTTTTATTCAATATATGTATCTCCCATACCATTAATTTCATCAATAAGCACCAATTTCATCAAAGATAAATTAGATGCAGTACATATAGTCTTTGAAATGTGGCCTTTCTGATTAAATGCTAAATAATTACCTTTTGTATGAGCATTCCTGATTAGGGCAAATGATCTCATATAAAGCATAAGTTAAATCAATTGTCCCTTAAATAATAGCACATTACCTATGCCAAAGTTTAAAAAATAAATTATAGAGACCACAACATTGGTGTTTTGAACAAAAGTACTTTCTAAACATAGAAGAAATGGAAGAAATTACAAACGAAAAGGATAACATTTTTGACGTCACAAAATTGGCAAGCTTTTGCACATCAAAAATACCTTAAACAAATAAAAAGGGAATAAAAAATTGTTTGAAAATATTAGTAGCAAATATTTCCTAAGCAAAATTTCTCTCTTGTTCTATTATATACAATAAAACACGATTCAAAACTTTATATATGTGTGTACATATATGTGTGTATGTATGTGTATATATAAACAAAAGATTGCAAACTGGCCACCACCCTTGTACTATTATTTATATATATATATATACACACACACACGCATATATGTATCTGTTTTCCTCTTAGTGTTTTTGTATGTTACCTTATTATACAAGAATGGTTAAATGGATTTTCACTGAATATGTAGAATTTAGAAGTTGCTCTGGAAGAAGTGCTTTCTTTCACTCTAGCACTCTCATCTTGCATCTATGCTGTGTTACTGTGGCTGCTGATTCTCTTGAAGGTTACTCTGCTGACCAGATTGTCCCCTGATCACCAGTAGTGAAAACTCATCTTGATCTTGGGCAACAGAAACTTTCTCCTGCAGTGCAAGTGACTATTTTTCTGTTTTGTTTTTTGATGGGAAGGGCAGTGTTTTTTGTTTTTCGTTTTTTCTTTTTTGGGGTGTGGGGAGCAGCATGCATCAGTTAGCCACCACTCACTGAGAGGCACCTTTTCTTGACATAGGAGGATGCCACAAACACTGGAATGAATACTGGAAGCTCCTAAAAGTAGCTTATCTTTCTTCATGGTTGGTGTTGTTGCTACTTGCACAGTGAACAGAGGTGCTCAGCAGCCACCATGGTCAGGGGTAGCTTTACAATAACATCTTGGTTTCAGCACAATGCCTCCAGCCCCAGAGAGTGAAGGAAGACCCTTCCTCCCCCAGAGAAAGACCCACCTCATTTCTTAATCTACTACTAACCACTTCCCAGAATGTTTCATCTTGAGAGAATTCTTTCTTTTATCAAAAAAGAGGGGTTCTGCACCAAGGTTCAACTGGTAATCATAAGATTGCTCTACATGGATGCATTTCCCAAAATCTGTGTTATTCAGTCATGCAGTGGACATCTGTTGTTTATGCCTGCCAAAAATTCATTTCCCTTTCTTTTGAAATGATGCCCTGAACTTGTACTGGAAAAGCTACTTCTTCACTATTGGCAGCCATAGAACTGCCAATCAAGATGTCCCCATTTCTCCCAGCCAAGGGATAGACATGTGACCCAAGTGATACCATCAGATGCTTTTCTCTCCTTGAAATTTGGAGCTCATGTGAAATGCAGAAAAAGATGGAAAAAGCAGTTTGTGATGATTAATCCCAGCTGGCCGTGACTGTCCATTAGTTTCTCCTCTCCCCAGAGATACTTTGGCTCATGACTTCTTCAAGACTGACCCTAAGACTGTGTAAAGGTGTCCTATATTCTCCACTCCTCTTATGCATTCCTATGTGCTTGTTAGGCCGAGGTGGTTTCTGTTTCTTTCACCTAAGGAATCCTAACTGATACAAGTTCTACCCATGATTGCACTTTTATGTAAGTATATTATTTTCCCAAATTTCCTGTTACTAGTTTTCACCTATCTACCAGGATAGAACTGTAAAATAATTCTACCATCTTACCAATATCATCTGTCTACCTGGTTTACTTTTCTCATGAGATGTTGGATGTAATACCAGCGTAGGGAATAGCACAGGATCACACCTGAAATGTGGTTATTGAGGTGAAATGACTGCCATGATTCGTTTTCAATCAAAATGAGTAGTTTTATTTTTGTATTTTATTGCATCAACTTGAAAGCACTCTGATTCCTTGACAGAAAGAGAAGAGAATATGAATTAAAGAAAGAACCAGTGACATGGGGGTTCTCCTTTCCCCTCTTGTTGCAACCTGGAAGGAATCAATAGGCCAATGCAGTTATAAACAGAGCTAAGGTTTCTGAGTTCTGGGGTAAAACATTGAATTTATCTTTGAGAAAGATACTCCTCTGTTTGGGGTTAGACTTCTTAGAAGTGTCTCTTTAAACATACAGGTCTAAGCCAAAAAACTACCCATTATTCTTGGAAAAGTAATTTTCATATTTTTACGTTACATGCCTTACTCTTCCATGTGAATTTTAGAATTATTTTTAAATTCTACAAAAAATTATGTTGGGATTGTACTGAATTGATAGATTAATTTAGCATAGAGTTGCCCAATAAAATACAGGATGCCCAGTTAAATTGAAGTACAGGTAAACACATTTTATATACACTCCTGTGCCACATAATGACATTTCAGTCAATGACATATTGCGTACACAAGAACAGTCCCATAAGATTATAATACCGTATTTTACTGTATCTTTTCTATGCTTAGACACACAAATACATACCACTGTGTTACAATTGCCGGCAATATTTAATACAGTGACATGCTGTGCAGACGTGTAGCCTAGAAGCAAAAGGTTATGTTGCATGGCTTATGTGTGTAGTAGGCTATACCATCTAGGTTCATGTAAGTACATTGTATGATGTCCACAAGATGATGTAATCACCTAATGATGCATTTCTCAGGATGTATCCCTGTTGTTATGTGACACGTGACTGTGTATCTGTATATTTATATCTAACTATCTCCATCTCTATTATCTATCTATCTATTTATCTATCTATCTATCTATCTGCCTGTTTATCCTATGTCATAATTTTTTATTCAACAGTATGCAGTAATGTTTGGGACACACTTATATCGAAAAATTATTATTCATGTATTTGAACTTAAGAGTTAACTGGCTTTTCTATATTTTTATTTGCCAAATATGGCAATTCTAGCTTGGGAAGAAATAACAGCTTTCAAATATTGAGTCATCCTTTTCACAAACATGATGTACTCTCTATTTATTTAGGGTTTATATCACTAAATAATTTGAATTATATATCTTGCTTATTTTGTTAGATTTATTCCCAAGTGACTTAACATTTCTAAAATTATTGTGAATGAGATCTATTGCTATTGCAAAGGAACCCTATTCATTTTTATAGTGATCTCATAGCAACCTTATTGTACTTAATTTGTTCATCAGGTCTTAAAATTTTTGTATTCACAACAATATAACAAAAATAATAAGTTTATATTTCTTCCTTCCTATTCCATATTCATTTTGTTTGTTTTTATTATTTTACTATACAGATTACAACCTTTAGTACAATGCTGAATACAAGTGGTAATGGCAGATATCTTGTCTTATTCTTAACTTAAAAGGAACATATTATAATTTCCTTAAAGATATTATATTTATTGAAAGTTTTAATATATAGTTTTGGTCAGACTAATACTTTTCTATTTCTAGTTTGCTAAGAGTTTACAATTGCTATTAGCATCATGAATGATTATTAAAACTTATCAAAAATACATTCTGTACCTATAGACGTTATCATATCATTTTTCTCTTTTAATTTGTTAATGTGGAAATTACAGTAATAGATTTACTGATACAAAAAAAAATCTTTTGATGTAGATGTTTCCAACTTAGTTATGGTATACTCAGATGGAGGCATACAGACAAACATTGAAGGTTCCATTTGCTGATTTTATTTAGAAGCCTTTGTGACATCAACTTAAAATTTTCCTTTCTTATAGTATTTACGTCTGATTCTGGGGTAAAGGCTACCTTGGCCTGACAAAATGAGATCACTACAGAGAAATTTCTTCTTTTCATATCCTCTAAATCATTTGTATAATTTGGGGTTGATCTTTTCTTTCAAATAGTAATTCCAGTACAAAAAAAGAGCAATAAATTAGCTGGGTGTGGTAGTGCATGGCTGTAGTTACAGCTACTTGGGAGGCTGAGGCAGGAGATTCGCTTGAACCCAGGAGGCGGAGGTTGCAGTGAGCTGAGAGTGCACCATTGCACTCTAGCCTGGGTGACAGACCAAGACTCCTTCTCAAAAATAAATAAATAAATAAATAAAATAAAATAAAATAAAAATTAGGTTACACTCATTTTAAAAATCTGGTGGGCCCATTTGTTTTGCTTGTTTTGTTATGTTAAGTAATTGATGTATTTTAAACTGTTAATTCACTATCTTTACTATTTAAGCTATTGATTCACTATCTTAATGATCTGGTTTTTTAAAACAGTTTTTTAAATTGGCACATATTTATGTGCCAATAGGTAATAATTGTACATATTTATAGGTACATAGCAATGTTGTGATACATATAATAAATAGTGACCAGATCAAGGTAATTAGCTTATCCATCATCTTAAACATTTATCATTTCTTTGTGTTGAGAACATTCAATATCCTCCTCCTAGCTATTTGAAACTATATAATATATTATTCTTAATTATAGTCATTCTACAGTGCTACAGGACACTAAAACTTATTCTTCCTATCTAGCTGTAATTTTGTTTTTGTCATGTTTCCTTTGGGGTCTATTTTGGTAAGTTACATTTCTCTAAGAAATTGTCCATTTTGTCCAAGTTTTCATTTATATTGACAGAGTTATTCAGAATATTCTTATAATATTTTAAATTTTTATTCCACTGGCTCCTGTTTTTCCATTCTAATATTTTTTCTTTGTGATCTTTCCAGTGGTGTGCTGGAGCTGACTTGTTCCAGCTGCCAAGAGCCAAGTGTCTATGAATCTCTTCCCAATTTGCATTCAGTGGCATCATGTTGGTAGATTAAAATCAGCATTGGTTGCAGGATCTACACCATGGAAATCAGAGACCCCTATGAATAGGAACCAATTCCCACCCTAGAGAGAGCTGGTTTACCAGCACAACTCTACTGCTCTCTATTTCTGTCCTTCCCTTCTTCTTGCATTGTCTTCCTCTCTTTCTCTTTCTCATCAAACGTGTTATAGATTTTTCTATTATATTACTTTGTTCAAAAACAATTTTTGGTTTATTTTATTCTTTGTTTTGTATCTTTGTTTTTAATATTAATTGATAATTGATTTTAGTTTTATTATTCTCTTTGTTCTATTTCTAGGATTTACTCTTATTATTTTTAGTTATTGGGTGAATTATTCATTAATTCTTAGTTTTTCTTATTTTGTAATATGTGCATTTTAAGACTATACATTTTTCTTTAAAAACTGTCTTAATTACATTGCACAAGTTTTGCTATTTGAGAGTTTAATTGTAATTCATGACTTAATGTTTAATAATAATCACTGTCCATATGATTTCTTCTTTGATTCATGGCCTGTCCAGAACTTTGCTCTTTTAAATGCCCACATGTTTTCCACTAAGATGTTGGTTTACTTGTTTTTTAAGGCTATCTTTTCATTAGTACTTTTATTTTAGAGCCAAGTACTTATAAAATGTGGTATATACCTTAATAGCTTTTCGGCATACACTGAGACTACTTTGTGGCTTAGAACCTGGTCAACTTTAAAAAATGTCTCATTTGAGCTCGAAAAGAATGTGCATTCCCTAATTGTTCTCTAAATTATAAATTTTGTTGCTCAAAACTTCTTATCCTTAAAAAATTTACCTGCTTTGACAATCACTTTGTGAGAGAAGTGTGTAAAGATTTTTCACTGTTTTGATACCTTGTCATACTTCAGTCAGCTTGTTTGACTTAGAATCCCAGGCCCTACTGAAATACCTGGTTGAATACTCCATGGGCCAGGATATTAGCTTCATCTTCCTTCCCTATAATTGTTTTACTTCATTTATCGCTCCTGGAGTCTTTCAAGTTAAGAGTTGTATTAAGCCATTTAAAAAATTATTTCTTCCACAATTTTCTGTTTATAGTCAGAGAGAAGCACCTGTACCAGCTCTGCTGGCTGTATTTGCTCATGCTCTTCTCGTGTTTTCCAATTCTGCCATTTCATTCTTTTGCTGAGATAAAAATTCCAACTTTTAGCTTTCTTAATTCCTTTCATCTGTATCTTTATTTTCTTTTTATTTATTTTCTTATTTTCCCTATACTTAATGCTCAGCATCTTTCTTATTTTTCATTTGCTATTCCTTTTTTCTAATTTCTTAGATGTAAACCCTTATTTTCTTGTTCTTTGTTTATTTATTTATTTATTTATTTATTTATGAGATGGAGTCTTGCTCTGTCACCTGGGGTAGAGTGCGGGGGCACGATCTCAGCTCACTGTAACCTCCGCCTCCCAGGTTGAAACGATTCTCCTGCCTCAGCCTCCTGAGTAGCTGGGATTACAGGCACACACCACCACACCAGGCTAATTTTTATATTTTTAGTAGAGACGAGGTTTTGCCATGTTGGCCAGGCTGGTCTGAAACTCCTGGTCTTAAATGATCTGCCCACCTCAGCTTCCCAAAGTGCTGGGATTACAGGTGTGAGCCACCACGCCCAACCTTGTATTTAACTTAATAAAGGCACTTAAGACTATTGATTTCTCTTTAAATAATTTTTTAAATGAGTGGCATATGTTTTGAATATCATTTGCTTAGTGTCACATTATTCTATGTCTATTCTGTACCAATTTTTCATTCTGTTAAGGTTTTGCTTATGCAAAATCCTGCATTCAAAATTTTTTTTCATATTACAAAGATACTTGAAAAGGCA